AATAATGTGGATGATGAAATATCAGGTCTCTGTCCTCCAAGTCTCTGTTAGTACAGGACTTAATAATTGATCAACAAATCGATACAGAAACCTGGTATAAATAAAATTGAATCATCCTACATATTCAAATCTTTTTTGTATTCAAAGAGTTCGTGTGCAGTTAGCAGTTTCATTTCAACAGTACTGTCATCACAGTGGCCTATATTTTGTACCTTAACCTAGTTTTTACACATTTTTGTCAGTACAGGAAACTCTGCAATTAATTTTTCTTTTTTTTTGCGTCACTTGTAGAAAAGGCTGCTTATGGTGTGTAAACCACAGTCACATATAGATGTTACCTTGTAAAGCACGACTGATGAAATAATCGCCAGACATTATAATTTATTGTAAACTGGAGTATTTATTGAATCATGTACCATTTATTACAAAAGAAATATCAAATCTGTCTGTATCAAATGTACGCTCCAGACTTGGCGTTACGAGGTTCATGCATTTGCACTTCCAAAAAGACGAAGCTGAACATGAACATATAACAGAATTTTATTTGGTGAATCGAACATCTAAATCTTCAAATGTCTAGAACATCGTTCTTACTGTGTTGTTTATTAAATGTTGGTCAAACTCGTTTTCAGGCGAATCAGACCCTGAGTGTAACATTCAGCCTGGATAGTTGGCCGAGATCGTGCTGCCAGTTTGATGTTCAGGTAAAACCTTTCAAGCCTGTTCTGCACAGTGATGCTAGTTTAATCATATTTATTATTATTTTAATTCTGATAATACTTCACCATGCTGTAGGATCCCACTTCACCTGGGTGCACAAGTTCATTTTGTCTTTATTGCAGATTAAACCTTATTTCTCACAATGTGGTGAAGACTGTACCCGTCGAAGGAAAACTCAGAATATTTGCCCCAGTGTGACGAAAGGTCCTGCAGGTCAGTATCACGTTTGAGTCAGAGGGTGGCTGAACGCTCTGTCAGATCAACACTTTATAAAGTAATGATAAAGTCGGTGGTTTGATTCCCAGCATTTTCCTGTGCTCGTACACTAGTGAACATTACGACACCGTAAACATAGTTTCGTTTCGGCCCACACGAGGGTTCAGCTTCTGCGTGTATCCACCCCGCACACATGTGGAGTGCCATTTAGGCTGCTTTAGCTTGCCCACAGTTGCTCACTCTACAGCCCACCTCCTCCTCTCATGATGTGCTGCATCTGTTCTCACTGATGCTTGCTCTGGTCTTGCTACTGTTGCTACTATTATAACTCAAACCAGCTGTGTATCTACGAGGAGAAGTGGGTTTAACAGCCATTTAATTTTGACTTAAATGTAACCAAATAGTTTGGTTTTGGAACGAAGTAACTGCGAAAATTGCTCAGATACCCAAAATAAAGTTTCTAGGTGGAGCAGGTCATTGACTAATTGGAAGGGTTTTGGTTCCAGCCTGGCTGCTCCAGGCAGTTGCATCTTCTGCATCTGTCGGAGTACGAATGTTACATGGAAAGCACTTAAACACAGAAAAAAGTGCTTGTATGAAGAGGTGAATGAGGCAAGATGTGTAAAGGTATTGAGAGCTAGGGCAGGGTAAAAAAGTGCTACGTAAGAAGCAGTCATCATCACACCAGGTAGTGGGTGGGATCTATTTGGGGGACAAGTGAAGAGTTTGTCCTCATAGTTGTTAGCAGCAGGAAACATTGGCAAGTATAATGATGTGAGTTCCAGGGTGGCCGAGGCTCACTGAAGCACATGGGGAGCGAAGGCTAGCCTGTGTAGTCCGATCTAACGGAGCAGTTACTGCAGCTCGGGTATCTGTTCACTCTGTTGGTGTCACGTTGAATTATTTCTGCTTCTTACAGCATTCCCAGCAGATAATGCCCCTCACTACGGGTTCGCTTCCCTGGGAGTGGTGTCGATGTGTATACTGATGGCAGCTGTTATGTTTGCCATCTGCAGGAAGCCAGGTTAGTCTCCTTTAAGTTCTATATCAAGTTCTAACTTCAAAGGTTTTGATTGGAGACGTGGCTCTCCATCGATTTGTGCACGGATGTTATGGTTTAACTTTGCTCTTCGGTTGCTGATGATCCTCTCGTGGTCTCTTCTACTTTCAGGGAAAACTAATGTCAGTGCAGGACCAAAGGGAGTTCAGGAAGTGCAGCCAGTCAAACAAAAGCCCAAAGTATTGGTCATCTACTCACAAGACCACCATCTGTACAGGGACATCGTGCTGAAACTCTGCACCTTCCTCCAGACAAAGTGTGGCACTAAGGTGCTAGTAGACCTGCTCGACTCCACCTCAGTAGGCATGGTGGGTCGTCTGCGCTGGCTCGAGTGGCAGCGGCAGCAGCTGAAAGATCCCTCGGACAAAATTCTCGTGCTGTGCTCACGAGGCGTCCAGGCAAAGTGGAAGGCCATGTGCGGTCAGGGACGAGTGACTTTGAAGGAAGACCTCCTATCGCCCACAGACGACATGCTCACTCCTTTTCTCAACCTCTTTCTGCCAGAAATGCACCAGGCAGGCACGCTGGGCAAGTACATGGTAGCTTATTTTGATGACATCAGCAGCGAGAAAGACGTGCCGTCGGTTTTCGACATTGCGGTGAAATACAGGCTGATGAAGCACTTTGAAGAGCTGTTCTTCCGCATCTTAGACATCGAAAAGTATCAGCCGGGGCAGGTGAAGCACATTGAGGGAATCGGTGCAGATGAATATTTCAACTGTCCCTCTGGTAGAGCTCTGAGGACGGCCATTGAAACTTTCCAGGCCTACCAGTTTGAAAATCCCGACTGGTTCGAGAAGCAGTGTGTGGTTAGTGAAGAGGAGGTCCTAAACGACGCCAACATGCTTATTGAACAGCTGCATATTCCTCCCGTCCTTGAATGTGTCCCTCTAATCAGAGATGAGTTTCCTGTCTATGTTCGTGACGTGGAAATCAATGAAAACAGCAACAGCATTCACATTCTCACCCCAGAACTGAACCCGGAGAGTCAGCTGTCCTCAGTAATAGAACTTATACCTGCAGTCAATCCATCAGACAGACATCAGCATTCATCCGGCCTGGAGGACGTGCTGACGGAGTCTGTCTACGTAGCTGAGCCAGCTTTAAACAATCCACCGCCACCCAGACAGAACTGGGTCTCCCTTGTGGATGAACCGTTTAGTCACATTCCCACTGAAGATAATGAGGAGGATTCCTTGATATCTCTGAACCAAGCTTCTGCTTATTTGGACCAAAGAAGCCAAGCTCCGCCGAACTCCCTGGACTTTAATTCTCCAGAATCGTCGTGTACAAGTGTTCCCGGGCAGCATTTCCCCCCCTCTGGGATGGATAACTCTGAGCATGTGCAGATAGAGGAGAACGAGGCTCAGGAGCCAAAAGGACCAAGCAGTGGCTCCGATCAAGGCTACAGCTCAAAAAACTCCTCCCAGCACGAATGTCCATCTAAAGACGAGTCACTGGTGGCTTTGGCAAAGCTGCAGAAGGAGCTGTTTGAAGAATTTGACATTACAGTGTGACATATATTTGATGATATTTCTTACTGGCAACATGATGTTGCTGTGGCAGACTGTTCACGTCGGCTTCTTCTTTGGCGTTAATCATTCACAGGGGAGTTTGCAAACCAGTGACTGCCCAGGAGCAGCTGATCCCAGGGAACGCCAGAAAGTTCCACATTTAAAAGTTGGCAATAAGCAAAAGACCCTTGACCAGTAATGTGCTTGTGTAATATGTGTAGGAGTTGTGTCTTTTTCAAAGATAAAGAACACGGATTACTGAGAGTTTGGTTCCTGCAAAGAAAAATCCAAAATGCATTTAATGTGATGTTTTTAAAGCTGTACTGCAGCTGAAAACAGCAGCGTCATTAATCATTACAGCATTGTAGCGTGACTGTTAGCGATCACGGTGTATTTGTGTTACTCTGAAACTTGTGTTGTTAATTGTTGACAGGCCAGACAGGTGTCGTGGGGACATGAGCGGGTGATATTGTAGAAAACGGTTACAGCATGAGTTTAACAAAATATTTGCATTTGGTTTAAATGAATTTGTAATAGCTTGTTTTGCTCACTATACAGGTGTGATTGTTGCTTACAGGAAGTAGACTTTGTTTCATTTCCCCGCCTGCACAGACTCTTTGTTTGTCAGCTTGTCTCCTCGCTGCATGTTGAAAAGGCCAGACAGGAAGCAGGGGCACATTTAAGAGCCTCTGGAAAATCACTAAACATGTATATATGCCTATATATAGGAGTGAATGTGAGTGCGAATGGTTGTCTGTGTGTTGGCCCTGCGACACACTGCCGACCTGTCCAGGGTGGACCCCGCCTCCCACCCTAAGACAGCTGGGATAGGCTCCAGCACCCCCACGACCCTGAAAAGGATCAGGGATGGAGGGATGAATGCATACAAGAATAAAAGTTTAATGGGGAATCAGTGGGTGAGGGAGGGGCTTGGATAAGCTCCCTCTCAGGCCTAACTGAACACACGCCTGCCTGATGCCTAAACCAGGCAAACAAGAAGTGATTTAAGTTGGAGGCAAATCGATATTATCAATGAATATTTTCAGATGATCAGAGTCTTGTATTTGTTCCCTTGACAAAGGGTCATTTTCCATTTCCAGCCTAAGGGTGCGTGCACTGATGTACAGTAGTTAACTGTAATGTGACGTGATGCTGCTCAGCTAGTGTTCACACGTGTACAGCACAGCTGTGAATGACGAGCACGTTTCATCATGAAGCTTCAGTCTTTGTTCGGAAGGACCTGAAAATTAAATCTGATGGTTTTTCCTCCTGTTTGCTGTACAGATGTTATTTTATGCTTGATGCTTTGTTGTGTTACATTTTCAATCACCATCTTCTGAACATAATCCACAATAAAAAAAACACTCTGTTGTTTTTAATTGAAAGTCCTCTGATTTATTTCAGGTTTCGACCGCGTGACTCTTCTTACACATCGAGTTGGCTACATAGATTGGATTATATCAGTACAGATATACAGCACACAATTTTATAGTACAGGTAAGGTCCCCTCTGTAAAACTCATCAACATCTGTGTAAACGAAGAAAAGGAAAGCTTGTATATTCTGATACAGGAGTGTTAAAATCACACACTCTGTTTTTCACACGAGCTAAAGAAGAAGAAGAAATCATTTCGATTTGTGTGGCAGGAGCAGCTCCTCTGAATCCCCATGTCTGTTAAAGCCTTTGGTAGTTTCAGTAAAACTGTGCACTGTGCTTGTTCATGCAGGTAAAGACCCACTGCACGTCAGCTTAGTTTAATCTAGATATGGTCCTGCTAAGTATTAGTCTCAAGCTTCATGTGCAAATCCCCTCAAACACTGTGAGGGAGCGCTTCCAACAACACTGTATACATATGCAAGTGTTTCAGAGATTACTGGCACAAGGAAACAATACAAAAATAGTATAAAATATATCATTTAGAGTACTATGGTAAACTGTGATAAGCAGCAAACAAATAAAAGAAACAAAGCCAAGGCAACAACATGTCTGTCATTTTATGGATATCTATAAACACCAATGAACACTCATTAAAAAGCAATAATATTGAAAAGAAAAAATCAACGATTTGAGCAAAAGTTTCTTTTCTCTGCTAAACATGAAACTTCTCTCAGTTGCAGATAGCTGAATGTGTGTCTCAGCCAACAGGACTTCAGCTGTGCAGACGCAGCAATCACAGACTGGTCCTGGTACAGTGCAGCCAGTTTCTGCTCCATTTACACTCATGTGCTTAACTGGAATCAGTTTAACGGGATGAATGTCCTCACAGAACGATTGGTTACATTGTAACCCAAGTTCCCTTAGTAAAGAGACTATCTCTCCACCTTCTTTATCCCACATACATGTATGTATAAGATGCAGCTTAAGTCAGTGCAGCTGTATAGTGTAGTGGTGAGACTGCAGGGGGCTGGGAAGCTCATCTTGGAACCGGAAGGTCGCCGGTTCGATCCCCATCTCTGTCTGTCCTGGTCGTTGTGTCCTTGGGGAAGACACTTCACCTACTGGTGTTGATGGCAGCCTCCCTTCTGTGGCTACAACTGTAGCTGCCTCCACCAGTGTGTGGATGAATAGTGGAATTGTAGAGTGCTTTGAGGGTCTTGCTATATAAATGCAATCCATTATTATGACACACCTTTGCAGTGGGAGTTGCAAGCTTGATTCCCACCTGGTACCCAGTAAGGGATTTCTACCTCATCTTCACGGACCTGAATGGTTCGTGGTTGTGGGCCTGGGACCAAGAAGGTTTACCCTCACAACAGTGGTCCACTAGCCTTTGCTTCATTATTCACAAAGACTCCACCATTTACAGGTGCTAAAATGGCTCATGGAAGGCCATCAGCACTGTCCAAATCCCACAGAGGGCCAGCTGGTCACCAGATGGTGTAGGGAACATGGTAAAGCGTGACCCTATGAGGTCCCTTAAGTGTGACAAGAATCCTGTGGCAGTTTTTGTAGGGAGCAACACAGACTGCCTTGGCTGCCACTAGTACCGAGCTGAAGGGAACCTACAACCCTAACTAGCATTTCCTGCAGAAACAAAGGATTGTCACAGGCCATGACGTCCCATCCTTCTTGGGGTGGAAAGCTCCGAGAGCACTGAGTAGAATTCAGTGTGGTGATTGCGTATCAGCCTTGCTTGCCAGGGGAGAATGCTGATGATCTGACAGGCACCCTCTCTACTTTAAAGGACAGGCTTTAAGGTGACCCCAAACCCTGCTGCAATAGGCCAAGGCTGCTGGGGCTTCCCATGATGCAATGTTTCTTTTTAGCTCATGTTTAATACACCAGTCTGTGTTTAATCATTAGTTATTTTTCATCTCTGCCTCTCTTCCACGTGGGTGTATCTGTTTTCCTGTGCACTTCCCTCACCCTGGTTCTGCTGGAGGGTTAGTCCCCTTTAACTTGTGTATTATTGGTCTTTATCTTACAATATAAAGAACATGCTAAGGCAACACTTGTTGTTAATTTGGCGCCATATAAATGCAGTTGAACTCAATTAGATGTGTCAGATCCAGCCTGTCTTATTCCTTCATGGGGGAGGAGTAAGAGAGACCCTGAGTGGAGATAAATTCAGAGCTGGAGTGGAGGCCACTGGTAAAGTCTGGATGCTCTGCCTTAGACAATGTCATACCATATACCACATATAATATAATAACAGCCTCAGCATCTGGAATATGTAAGGCAGAGAGACAGTCTCGACACAAACACAACAGAAAACTGCTTTTAAGGGTTCGTGCAACAACATTACACAAGTTTCAGTTTAAATCACTTCCTAACAGCAGAGCTGAGACACTGAGAAGAACGAGCCAAATAATGTGGACATTTCCTGCACTTTTTTGCATATTTAACACATTTTAAAGTGTTTGTCAGTAAAACCGCCTTTTAAGCAAAGTGCACATTTTGAACTTCCTCCAGACAATCAGTGCTGCAAGTGAACGTTCAAAGGCTTTAAACTCCTTCATACAGCTTTAGCTTTAACAGTGAGCACACCATCGTTTGTGACGGGTACATGACAGGTATCATTATCAGTCTGCTTTGCAATATGTTCTTTGTCCTTCAGCCTGTAAAGAGTTGGACAGCGCTGAGGTAACACGCTGCTGGACATGCAGACGTGTCAGTATTGTTTCACTCAAATTTCCTTCAGCTGATGTGAGAAGGTTGAATAAAATCTTTTGTTCTCAATGAAACTAAAAATCTTAAATATAGTAAACATATAAATATATTTAATCAAAGTGCATTAGAAACAAGCATTTCTTGACAAAACATCTTTCTAATCTGTACTGAAATTATGAAAAAAAGCAAAGCATGTTTGCTGCCTGCCAAATGAAACAAACAGGTCATAATTCTGTTACGCCGCCGTCTTTCCTCTACAATCATCTACGCTGCACACACTGGTCACGGACACACCGGCACTCGTCGTCATTAAAGTTCACTCATCTCCAAAGCAATAGGCACTAAATCATGTTCAGATTACTCAGACTTGGATATTGCACACATAATAAATACTTTACCAGACGTGATTGCAAAATACAGAACAACGAGCTCATAAAGGAGGAGAGAGACAAAGTCAGTCAGTAATGCCACCTGATGTAAAAGTGTCCTATTAATGTGAAGTCCTATTATTAGGGTTATTATCATCATTATTAGTATTATTATCATTATTATCATTATTATTATTAGTATTATTAGCAGAGTTAACACACTTAAATGTTTCAGATCATTAAACAAATCTTAATATTAGATAAAGATCACCTGAGTAAATACAAAATGCAGTTTTTAAAGATAATTTCACTGATTAGGTGAAAGGTCCTCCCCTGCCCCCCAAATAAGTGATTGTTTCACCCTCAGCAGCAAGAACTGCAATCATGTAATTGGAATAAAACAAAGGCTGATGTTACATTTATCTAAAGCATAAATAAAATAAAGACTTTGGGGATAATATTCTGTGAAGCTGTGAGACATTTGAAGCTTCTCGTTGAATTTGGCCGAACATTAACACACTTGTTTAAAAGAAATGCAGCAGCCAGACGTGCTGGAGGTAGTGTGGTGTTCTGGGTTTCAGCACCTGGATGACTTCAGATAATTCAACCCAGCAAAGAGTGTGATAGACACACTGCTCCACCCTGTGGATGCCGTCAAAGACTTTCAATGTGGCTGAAACAAACTTCTTCAAACCGTGGGCGCTGTCGCAAACACCTGATTGCAGTTTTTGCTGCCAAGGACGGCACAACGAGTTATTAGGTTGTATTTACTCTGATTGTCTTTATCTAATATCACAATCTGCTTAATGGTCTGAAATGTTTAAGTGTGATAAATATGCCAAAACCAATGAAGATATCAGGAAGGGGGTAATTACTTCATCGTGATACCTGTGCCCTCCCCAGCATCACCTGGATGCAGACTGTCTCCCATCTCAGGTCTCATCTATGTAAAATGATATATACACTCTGAAAACCATGAATTTTCATACAAATTCAGTTCATTTATATACACATACGTGTTCGTGTTGTTTAAAGCTTCTTACTGACTCTGTGTATCAGGTACAGAAGCCTTTGAACAGAGAGCAAAGGAAACGCTGACGTCCAGAACATTTTTCTTTTCTCAGGTTCTGGAATCTTCCAGGCAGAGAATAATTTAACAAACAGAGCTAGAAATTTAAAAATGACCAAACATGTGTTTAGCCTTCACATAGAAAGCTGAAGGCTAAACTCTAACCACTGCATTATGGTTTTTAGCTGTCGCCTGCTGTTTCGTAACGCACTGAGAGGCACTTACACCAAAATGCACCACAGCTGATAGTGAGACAAGCTGAAATCAGATCTAAGGAATATTGATGAGCACCGCCAAAGCTGTAATAATGTAGCTAAATTCGATATTACTGCTATATACTGAAAAAATCATTATTTTTCTCCTTTAATTGGATTTTGTGGAGAAACCAGTTTCAGCATGTTAGAAACAGACGTGCTCAGAGTGCTGAGCTTTCTGGGCTAAAACTTTAAACGATGAAGAAATGATGTCGCCATTGATTTGATGGGTTTTTGTTTACTTCGTTTTGTTTGTTTATTGGAGAACTTGAACTCTGCCCGTTTGTGACCAAGAGAACTGCAGAGTCAGAACTCAGAGTGAAAGAAAATACTGACAGAAGCCTGGGGGGTCGTGGCACTGTAGGGATGGGGGTCGTGGCACTGCTGGTTTGTAAGCAACTTACACACAAGTCTACTCTACTTTCAGTACGATTAACGACCAGCAGACATCACTGTCATTGATAGAAAACACTAATGTACATTAGGTGGAGCAGAGCCCGGCGTTAGGACTTAAATCTGGAGTTTTCAAATTGCAGTTTGATCTCAGCACAGTCCAGCTGCTGTCCCTCGGAGGTCGTAGGCTGAACACACAGCAGTGTTGTGAGTCTCCTGCAGGTGTCTGACTGTAGCACCTGTTGGCTGGTCTGAAGAGGGCTCGTTGTAAGGCTGGTACAGGTGACACCAGGCATGTCCAGAAACTGGAAAATCCGTTTACCTCTTACGTTGAGCGCCGTCTGCCCCAAACGCAGAAAGCTCATCGAGTTTAGCTGCTATCACAGGCAGGTACGCGACATCATTTCCACTTTCCAACATAAATGGGAACGCGCTGTTCTGAAAATAACGTCATCCTGTCAAGTAATAAGTCATTTGTGTAAAACGGGCCGTTTCTTATATCGTGTTTTTCTCCTCCGTCTGAGCAACATCGTGTGTGACATCACCACCACCTGCAATATGGCCGCGGATTCAACAGAACTGCTCACACTTGTATTGAAAGCAGACAAACCTCTGAGGGCCCCGTGAAAGGCTTCGTGTACAGCAGTGTGAAAAAGTATTCGTTAAAGTGTTTCCTTGTTTCTTTTTTGTTTGCATATTTGTCACGTTCACCTGTTTCAGGTCAGACCTGTTCAATCAAAAACTCCATTACACAGAAGGCGTCTGACAAAGTGACGCAGGCTACAAGGAAAGCATCAGGACACAGGCGAAAGAAGGACGCTTGACAGGGTTACAATGTCAAAGGCTTTGGGAAACCATAACGCCGTCCACCAAGAAAACCTGGCACAGTGGTGAACCTTCCCGGGAATGCTCAGCTCTACAGTGGTTTTATGCAGCAGGACACCAGCAAGTCCACCTCTAAATGGTAAAAAACATGAAGATTTTTTGACTGGCCGATGGAAGTCCTGATGGAAAAGTTGCTCCACAGTGAAGTTAAACTCACTGGCAGTTATTGCAAACACTTGATTTCAGTTGTTGCTGCCAAGAGTGGCACAACAGTTATTAGCTTTAGGGGGGCAGTCCCCTTTTCACACAGGTCCAGGTAGGTTTAACGTTTTCCAACAATAAATAAAATCATCATTCTTCATATAAAAGTACATTTTGTATTCAGACGGGTTATTTTTAAATCATATTAGAATCAGAAAGTCTGATGATCTGAAACAGAGAAGTGACAAACATGCGAACAGCGACAAAAAAAGAAATCAGGGTCAGATACTGTTTCACAGCTCTGCATGTGATTAATCACAAAGTCGTTTGGTAGTAAGCATCATCGATTGATAACAAAGGCCAAATGTGGTCCCTGCGGTTTAATTAGTGAGTCGAGCCTGGCTTGTAGTCTGACAGCGCTTGGTGACCCTGGAGCTGCTTTGGAAATAAAGATTTCAAATCACAGTCACTGAAATAATGAGATCATTACGTAGCTGCCTTTGGGCCCACTAACACAGAAAGACCTGAACTAGCACATTAGGCCTCCACAGCCTCCAGTTGATGGAATTTCTGCCTTTACCCCATTTTTTTATTTTATGCTGAACATTTGTCTTCCCACCTCTGTTAGTGGTAACACAGAGACGGAGCCTCTTCAAGGCCCTTTAATAATACTTTATGTTGAGATGCAGCTGGGAGGCCCAACAGGAGCTCACCACGGGAGATAAGATTTAGTTTTTTCAGTCTGATTAGAAGATTGGTTTTGTTTTTTGTCTATTATTTAGCAGCTAAATGCCATCATCTGCACTGCTTATTTTATTGTTGCCTGCGTGTCTGATACCTGATACCTGCTTTGCTTATCGCGTGGACGTGAATCCAAATGCCAGCATCCCGAGGCGGACACTCGGTGGTATTTGGGATTTTCCAGGTTCCAGCTATGTCTGTCCTGCCGTCACAGGCAGAGACGGCCGCCACGGCTCTAGGACTGAGCCACAGCCAGAGTATTGACATACCCGTGCGGACACATGTCGTTCTCGGACACGCAGTGGGAGAACTGGGCCGGGTTGCTGCCGCCAGCCAGCCTGCGGACCCCCCGGAACGCCACACACTGCTCCAGCAGCTCCAGTAGCTTACAGGCCAAGAAGAAGATGTTTTTGAACATGAACACCGACACCGGCATCTTGTAGATGTAGACCTGGAAACACCTGACCACCAGCAGGGGCGCATTAACCACCAGGCCCGTGGAGAAACGGGCCCAAAGCCACCTGCAGCGCAGCTCGGACGCCGTGAGCTCGTACAGCCAGACCACCGGCACGGCCAGGGCCACAAAGTACACCGAGATCACGGTGTATTTAAGATAAAGCGTGGGGATCTCGTTCCTTAGCAGCATCTCCACAAGCGTGAAGCTGTCCAGCAGGTCCAGGCAGGTGCCCATGAAGCAGCTCTGGGAGTGGTGCCGCGTCGAACCGTTCAGGTCCTCGATGATGGAGTTGATGAGGCAGAAGAGCAGCGGCGCAGACAGCAGCATGACGATTTTGAAGCCGGTCGCTCCGAACGGGACCTTTAACGTGATCAGCTCCAGGATGGAGGTCTCCAGGATGAGCACCACCTTAGGGGTGCAGGCGATGACGTAGATGAGCCATGCAAGGTAGGCGTAGGTGAACTCTCCGAGGTTGCAGCCGAAAATGGAGCTTTTCTGGTGAAAGCCGCAGGCCCGCTCCCTCTTACTCCGCGCGTTCTTCATGAAGAAAATCCCCCAGCCCGAAATCACCACGAGGTCCGTGGCTATCCACGAGCACCAGTACAGGTCCGTGAAGATGATGAGGTAGAAATCCAGAACGCCGCCCTGGAAGATGAGGAGGAGGAAGCACAGCGCCTTGTACAGCATGCTCCTCTTGGATTTGTGCGCCAGCAGGGGAGCGGTCTGCACGAACTCCCCTGATGTCATGATGCTGGCGGCGGCTGCGGATGAGGTGACCAGGGCCTGGATGCTGCCGCTGTCCTCCGGGATGATGCTGCCGCTGGTGGTCTGGGTGTCGCGCCTCCTGCTTAGCTGGCCGTCTTCGGAGGAAAATGAGATGGGAGAGTTGGGGCAATCGCTCGCTTCGGGTGGGAAATAATCGGCCTTCGGATTGTCTTTTGCAGTTTCAGTGACCATTGTATTTGCGCTGTCGCCTCCCTCTCGACTGTTTTCTTCCCTCTAGCTGCTTTAAAGGTGGAGAGAACCAGCCAGGCGCAAAGAAAGGCACGGACTCGCGGAACGGATTCCACCTCCCTCTGCTTTTGCGCTCATTTCCATTCGTTTCTCACACATGTTCACGTCTAAGAATGTAACAATAGTGGTTTGCTGTTGAAAAGGCTTTGATTGCGGTGTAGCTGCTGTTAGTTTCGGTTTCTTAGATCATGTGCTGCCGTTGGGTCAGATCAGGCTTCAATGTTCGCCCAGTCCCCTCTCCATCAGGTGCACGCGCGTAAGAGCAAAACTGAAAATGAGTCCTTTTTAAAGACCAGAGACCTCTTTAATCCGAAAGGAGGATTTCAGATCACATTTTGGAGCATTAACAAACAGACATATTCCGAGCAAACAGGACTGGAGTTCCTCCTAAAGCAACAGTCTGTGTCAAGCCGTCCATCACGGCCGGACTGGCCATCTGGCGTACGGGAGCTGTCATAAATGACCACAGACAGCACAGGGCACTGGCCCAGTCCGCTCCTCCCTCCCTCCTTTTAATCCGAGCTGCAGAGGACGAACCAAAGAAGCGCAAAGGAGCCGAAATGTTAATGAAGAAGGACGTTTGTCACAGCTCTTTCTTCTTTACTGGTTTATGGTCTCCTGTGAATAAACAGTATATCTCATAAAACCCTCAAAAGACTCTCCAGCAGCATTTCTCCACTTTCACTTCACGGTGGGGTTGTGACACTGTGGATGAATCCCTGACAGCAGATCAGTTCTTTGGTTTCTCTCTTCCTTGTATACAAAATATATTAAATTGTGAACAAACGGAGTTAAATTCAGATCTAAACATTCATGTAAAGATGCAAAAAACCCAGATTTTTTTTTTACTGTTGATATTAGATTTCACTTTAAATTTTCATCAGCTTAGTTTTTTCTTCCGTTCAAATATGAAGTTGATTGGACTTCAATCAACCAAATGTTCGTTCGTCTGATTCCTCTTTCAGGTGTTTATTAAGGGGAAATAAATCCAGACCTACCTGGCCCTGTGTGGAAAACCTAAACCTATTAAACTGGTTGTGCCACTCTCTGCAGCACCAATTCGTGGCTCCATTTCCCACAGAACAGCATCAGGCCATCACACTATCACCACTGTGTTTTGCTGTTGGCATGATCTTCCTCGGCTGAAATGTTATTTTTACGCCAGATGTAACAGGACACACCTTCCAAAAAGTTGAACTGTTGTCTGTCAGCCCACAGAGCATCTCGGGGGTCATCAGGATGACCTTTACGTTCCTGTTGCTCAGCAGTGGTTTTTATCTTGGAGCTCTGCCATGCAGGACACTTTGTCCAGTTTCTTATGATGGAGCCATGAACACTGACTTTAACTGAGGCCGGCAGTTCTGTGGATGTTGTTCTGAGGACTTTTCTGACCTCTTGGATGAGTCGATGCTGCGCGCTGTAATTTTGGTCAGCCAGCCAAAAAGTAAAAATAAAAAAAAGCTTTCCTAAATAAAGGTTTGTATGACTTTGGGTGGCAGGGAGGTTACGAAACGATCGATACGCAACCGTAAACCGTCTGTTATTTGGGACAAATTCATTACAACAGCACATGAAACAAGTCTGTGGACACCCCAGTTTGAATCTCCACACAAAAAGGGCCACATGAGTTTGACCAGCAGCTGGTTTACACATTTAGCACCGTCGGAAATATTCATTAGAATTTCAAGAACATTTTTAAATGTCTCGCAACTGAAGGAATTCTGCACCGAAGGCTGTTCAAGAACTCCAGCAAGCAGAGACGTCAGGCTGGAGGACAATTATCCAAAACACATTAAAGTAAAGCTAAATGAGAGTTGTTGTTTTATATCGCACAAAAGTGACAAAGGCTGAAATTTGTTCTTAAAAACAGCTACTAATCAGAATCAGAGTAAAGCTGATCCATGAACGAAGTCGACACAGCAGGAAGATTTTTAAACTTTAATGTCAAGTTAAGATGGATGGCTGTGGAACATTGAAAACACTCATTTCAGTATAAACATATGCATTCCAGTGGCATTCAACAAGTCAGCACCAGCTGTCAGGAGTGTGGGTCAGCGTCTCAGCTTCAAGGCTTACTGAAGTCCGTTTGAGCTCAAGCAGTGACTTTGGAGCTGGTTCTGGGAGGGCTTGCTCTGCGCTACCTCGAGTCCCCGGGGTTGGGGTTAGAGGCTGGTAGTTTTCAAAAGTGTCCATGCTTACATCATTTATCTGACCGATACTGCAGCTCACACGTACGGGGCAAATACTCTCCTCATGTCCAAATACAGGTGATCACCCACAGACCGCTCCGTCGGGTGCACGGGGTTAGCAGACGCTTCGGTTATTGAGCAGCTCACGAACTCTGTCCACTAGTGGCTTCGACACACTTGCGTTTTGTTCAGTAGTACTGCTGTAACAGTGAGAATCACACTGATGTGTCAGAGAGATCTGAGCTCAACGTCTCAGGTGAGAAACAGGCGACACGCAGCCTCAGGAGGGTTTCCTGAAGAACGCCCGACGCCCAAACCTTTGTTCAGCTGCCATCAGTCACAATGTGGACCTAATTTGTTCCAAACAACAAACTCCTTTGTTTGCTCTGAGTTTTTGGAGCTGTTCAATAAGTGAAGCCTGACGGTAACAAAGACGCCCGTCCTGCATCAGGGCACTTTAGTCCATCGTTTGGATTTTCTACAGTTTATGTTGAGGTATAAAATGCTTTAATGGCGTGAACTGTAGGAAATATGTGGCGGTGGAAGATGTCGTCATTACAGCTAATTTATTAACCATCTGCACAATATATTTGCTGTCATCAGCGTTCATAAAGAAAAAGATTGGGATCTTCAAAAACCATCTATAAAATCTTACAACACGGCCTCACAATTACAGTAAATGGTGCCGAGTAAGCGCGAGTGTAAAGTCTCAGGATTATGTACAAACACCTGGCTAGATAAGAAGTCAAACCCGCGCCCACAAATAAACTTGACAATTTTTATTATTTGAAGAAAGTTATAAGCTTTGTTAAATTTTATACCGAGTTCTTTTATCGTTTCCTTTTAACATGAACCACACGAGAAAGACTCACAAGAATAAATGTCTAGAAAATGTTTAGCACGAGTGCACCGACTTGTTGGTTTTTCCTTTTTTTTGTTTTTTAAATATTTTAGAAGTTCATTATTAATGGCCTGCTTAAAGGCACTGCCACAATACAGGGGTGGAGGGAAAGCTACTGTCCATCACTCGCACAAGACAGTCCATTCTAGTGTCTAGTATATACGGGGAGGTGAGGGGTGGATGTAGGGCGCCGGCGGTCGGGGCTGCTATAGGTAAATCTCATAGAAATCGTCCAGCTCCTCGTGAAACAAGTCCCACTCGTCCTCCGAATCAGTCACCTCGTCGTCGGTTCCCGCGGCGAGCAGCATGAGGAGCATGTCGCTCAGCTCGAACGTTACCATCTCCTCGTCCTCGTTGTCGAAGGAGTCGGTGCTTTCCCGCTCGTCGAGGATGTCCCACAGCGGCGTTCGCCTCGAGTTCTGAAAGGAACCGCAAGAAAACTCACAAACGAAACACATTTGTGCTTTTAACCATGTGGACACAGTGTAGCCACGTTTTCCTATTTTTATTTCACGGCTGCTTCTAATGTTTCCTGCACCATCGTCGCCTTCCAGCTACCCTTCCTTCCTTCCTTCCTTCCTTCCTTCCTTTTAAGACAGTGGATGTAGCGTATGAACACTAACTGAGTCGGTGCATCTTATTGCTGTGACGGTGTTCTGTGTCACTCTTGGCCGTCTCGTGACCTTTCACACTCCTACGAGCTGAAATTGAGCTGGGAGGAGTTGCTAATCCAATGCTGAAGGTTTTTCTTCCCTCTACAACACACCTACTGCTCGTGCCCCACCCCCCCACACCACTCCCTTGCAGTGGGTGTCCAGAGCAGAAGATAAACACACTCTCCTGTCCGGCTATGATATGAAAGAGTTCAGAAAAAGTTACCCGGTTCCTGCTGTTGGATCCAGTCTGTCTTCGCTGAGGCTGAGCTTCCTCCAGCCGCCCGTCAGGAAAGGCGTGCTTGTAGAAGCAGTTTGAGCCAAAGGGGCACGTTCCACGACCCTCGTCAAAGTATCGGCATGGTTTACTTCTGGAGAAGGCAAAGAGGAAACCAGAGAATAAAGATGCCGTCTCGACAGCTCACACCAGGACAGCTAATCCTCGTGTGTTTCAGTTTCCGATCACGACTCCCCACACTGTGCGCTCACCATCCCACTGCTGTGACTCTGATCACAGCTTCCTATTCAAAAATCTGCTTCTTCTTCCTGCAGAGTTATAAAACCTGCCTTAAAGCTTCAGCTTCAGTCCTGCTCCTACTGCATTCTCGTTTAGTTTAGTCAAACTAAAGATGAACAACAACTCTGTGTCACCGTTTCCCACACTACACAATATGTTGTGTATACATGAGATGGTGCGACGCCTCGTTGCAGCAGCGATGCTCTTTAGTGAGTGTGGGCGTGTCATGCAAACCCTACCCCATGCCGTCTTTGTATTTCTGGATGAGTTTCTGCTTGTCGTCCTTATCTTCCACCCAGTACTCACTTGGGATGACAAAATTGGATGTGATTCGACACTCTGGACAAGACCTGCCCCAAAAAAGAACAAGATTATTTTTGTTTTGACCCAGTCTCATTATCTGACAATATAAAATGGCTTTAAGTGACTATTGTTGTGATTAATATTTATATAAATAAAATGGACCTGAATAAAGCACAGCAAGCATGCACTCACACTAGAACAGCTGGGGATCAAACCATCATCCTGTTGGTTCAGACAACCTGCTCCACCCTGAGAGCAGGGTTAGCAGCCACAGACCTCGGCTAGTGTCGCATTGAAAGAGCTGACGTGTGTTTCCTTGACAGATCTGCGATGAACCTGATGTTTTCTATAAGCATCGTTCTGCCTATAAATATTTTTGCATTCCACTTTCTGCAGCTACATATTTAAAGAGCCTTTACAGAGTGGACACTCGGGTGTGTGAGCTGGCTGTAGCTCAGGAGGTGGAGCAGCTCATCTCGGTTTGATCCCTGGCTGCTGTCAAAAATCCTCACGCTCCCATCCTTGCTAGTATGAATGAGTGAACGAGGCAAGTTGTATAAATGCTTTGAGCGCTCAGGTAGAGGAGAAAAGCGCCTAAAGAACCCTTTACAAAGGCTGGAACTGTCCACCCTGACCAGCCGTGAAACAACAAGCTGTGATGTCCTGCAGACTCTTACTCCACACCCACAATGTCACTTCCACTTTGTCCACAACAGACTGAAGCACTTACTTGATGATTTTGCTCTCAAACTGCTTGGCACTCCTCCACTTGCGAATGCACTTCAGACAGTAGCAGTGGTTGCAGTTGGAGAGGATGCCAAAGCGGCGCTCGCTAAGGTTGACCTTCTCAAACACCACCTCCATGCACACGCCGCACATCATGTCCTTGCTGCGCTGGATGGCAAATGATATCTCCATGTCTTTCTCATGGGCTTCAATGCATGCCTAAAACAGGGAATGACCTTCAGTAAGCTGAGGAATCAACAGAGGCCTTCACTGCATGCAGAACATTTCTGGCTTTAATCAGCTTCTTGTAAGTTGGGCGGTGTTTTGTCAGACTGCATTCAGGCAGGAGTAACACTGACAGATCCAGAGGACGGGTTGAAGAATCTTAAAAAGAAATCCACGGCTGCATTTACACACACTCATGGGCACGAATGTGGAGGGGACCAACTGGAAACACAAGCTCACATACATATACGCCCACCTACAGTTAGTGAAATGTCCCCTTTGAAGCCCACCACAACCAGAGCTTATGTTTTTACATGCCGCCATTTTTGGGAGCATTTCAAGCTACCGTACATCAATACAACCGTTATGTCCCAGATTTTAATAATGTGTTTGCATTAAGCCCATAGTAACGACATAAATTGCAAAAAAAAAAAAAAAGTGCAATAAACTACAAAAAAAATGGAAAATCTTTTTTTTGCACATATTTCTAGTTAGAGAAACGTCAGAGGGACGTCCCTCAAGACTGTTACGCAAAAAAGTCGCACAAAATAGTTTCCAAGCGCAGGAAGTTTATTGTGAGTGTCTTCATAGTTTCATTTTTGGGATACACTAATTTTTATCAACTGCAGGAAAAAAAAACAAAAACAAAAGAACCCAAAAAACAAAACCAGCATAAAAAAAAACTACGTTTCCCACGAAAAATGACACTTCCAGTTTCTGCAGGTAAGGGCAGACGTGATAGTTCGCGCTGACATTTATTCTAACGTAGGAAGTGCTACGAACAGCTGATCAGCTCAGATGTTTCTGGATTATAATGTTTTTGTCAGCGCTTTTTACACGATTTTTGCAAAACCGTTTGTGGAAGGAAGCTGCGACCCGGGACAAACTGACTCCATCTTACACAAGTACAACTGCTCCAGTTTCACATGCAAAAACAACAATAATAATAATTGCACTAGCCTATGTGGTTGCAATTCCACCAGGATTTTAAAATCGTTGCGTAAAATGGGGCGTGCACACTCAGATGGCCTTAAAGGTTTAAGGTGCGTCTCAAAGGTTTCTGGTTTCCATCATCGAGTTTGTGCAATAAAACGATTGCAGAAAGACGGTGATGGAATTTGTGCGCCACCAGCAGGCCGTGCTGTAACGGTTACCTTGGTATGCTCTGAGCGCTGAGTGTTGTCAGAGGGGTGGAGCACCTGGAGGCCACACATGTCACACACATCGCCATGGAGATAAGCACAGTTGATTCCATAGCGGCACTCTCCGACAGCAGCATACGGACAGAGCTGCTTCCTCAAA